AGCCAGAGAACATAAGACAACAGCAAGAGTCGGTTGGTCGCAGGTAACATAACTTGTTGACACAATAAGACTTGCAGGAATGAGGAAACCTAAAATGAATGGATGAACTTAGAAGTCAAAAACGATTTAATAAAATCCTTTAATACTTATTATTAAATTTTACGCTTGAATTTTGCACTTTTAGTGTTTTGATTGCAATCAACAGACATTTGGTCAACCTTAGGAAAAGTTATTGAATTACCAGCAGTCAGAGACTCTTTCTCGTTTGTCCTGTAGTTAATATTCCTCTGTTACGAAGGCAGTCTGCCAATTTCCCACCTCCAACGCCAACTATGGTATGCAAGTCTTATGCAGTAAACATGGGAGACCGGACACGAAACCAGTCCAGAGAATAAAAATTTGAAATTCATTACTTAACGTATAAACTTGACAAAGAACTGGGCCTCGAGATTCTCAAAGAACTGATGTTCTCTTGGCAACGTTAGAGAACAAAGTTCATGTTTCTAATTACGAAAAGGCAATTTGAATGACACTCTGACTTTTAGTTGGTGTTCTTCAAGTCATTAGGTACTCAACGTTTGAGTCAGATGTGGTTTCTTCTTTTAAATATCAGAGAAACAAGAGATAATGTTGTGCGTGAAGTGTGTTTGCGCCCAATCGCTGATTAGCTTTCAATTTCAGTAACGGAAGACTTTTATTTACTATATCTGTTTGGTCTCTGAAAGCAAGTGTGAGGCTGATCCAAGTTCCATTTGTTATCAAAACCGTCACAGAAGGTAGTTATTTGGGTAATGATCATTTTATAGATATTTTCAATTTATAAACGAAATTTAGATCAAGAGAGTTTTTAAGCGACAAGTGGTGCTAATGGGTCCTTTGCAAATTTTTCCTGATCTGTTGCCTGAACAACCACCTTCTGTGACGGCTTTGGCGCCAATTCATAACAACTTCATTATAACCGTATACTCGTATCTTGTCACTAATTTCACACATTTTAAAGTTTGAAAGGCTACTGTCCTTTGTCCCATGAAGAATATACATTTCTAGCGTCCAAAAAAAAGGAAGAAAAAATATTTAAACATACAGCATTGGCCAGAGGGAGATGTCTGGTATACTCCTGTCTAGAATATTGCACTGTTGGGCTTCTCTGAAGTAAGAAGGTAGTAAAAAAATACAAGTGTGATTGGCCCAGTTGAAACAAAAATGTGCGGTTATTATGGCCCATACAGGTAATGATGTTAAAAGATGCCGCCAGAGAATTTTCAGTCGCTAAAAAATAGAGAAGAAATGAGGAAATGTTAATAACTCGTGCTGTCTTGATATTGACAGCTAATTTTTGGTTTGCTGAAATGATGAACAAAATACAACTGTAAGACCAAGCATTTTCGGTCATAAGCATATCTGAGGACGAATGAGCAATTTTCTGGACGTTCTTTCGCCAACTCTACTCAAACTTCCCGCAACAGAATTTGCAACAACGAAAAGAATTGATGTTAAATATTATATCTCTTACAAACCGAGTTCGAGTTCCGCACTGTAAATTAGTTTTTTCGATCAGATTTGTGGGAAACCCGATTTTGGATTTAAATAACGGAATAATACACAAAGCTGTTGTCATACACATACTGCCTTCCTTTCTTGTTTAGCGCCTAGACTTGACAAGATCTACTCTCTATCTCTTCCGTTGATATCCAATGGTGATGTATTGGTTTGTCGTGAGCGAATATCATCCAAGTAACAAACCAAACAAGAGCTACAGAACCTGCGATAAGATGAAAAAAAAAGCGGGTAATTTGGAATCAATATGCGTCGGAAAAGACAGACATCACCACGCAAGCCACACGTTGGGGTCGGCGCCCACGAAGGGACTTTAATGAGTGCCCCATTTCAATTGAAAAGGATGCTTGTCAGGATTTTTAGGATTTGGTGACTGTTTCCCGGTACCTGTATATACCACTTGGTGAAGATGTCGTTGTGAGAGTGAGATATCTTGCTTAGGTACACAACACACTCTCAGGATTGAACTCGAATCTTTTGGTAAAATAGGCCATCGCGTCTTCCAGTCAACTACACTGCAAGTTTTCTTTAAACTGACACACAACCACAGGATCTTTTACTTGACTCCGCACTCGATAAGTCACATTTTCTTTCATTCATAAGTCACATTTTCTTTCATTCGAAACACTTCATACACTTTAATTTTAAAACGGTTTTAAAGCGGTTTTAAAATGGTTTTCCTCTCAGAAAAGCAACAGCCTGGAAGAAATTTTCTTGTAGTTATCAACAGTACCTGAGTAGGCCAAGGCGCAAAGCTTGCTTCTCTCTAGAGGGGGAGCCCAGCTACTCCACATGGCACGCATGGCTGGGAAGGTCATACCCTATAATTAAAAAATTGATTATTTCACCAGACATGCGTACATAATTCACTAATTTGAATAGTTTAGCAAGAAAAAGGGTAAGGCTGGGGGAATGTGGACCTGTGTCTAATGATTTAGAAAAATCTTGAATAACAAACTTGCATTTCTCGTAGCCTTTTGTATGGAGATAAAAATAACATTTTGATATGAAATCATTCAGCCACTTTAACCTTGAGTAACAATTATTTTCCACACTATTGAATTTGCGAGACGGTAAACTTTTAAGGCTAAAACTTCGTATTGATTATTCCTTGAGTTATCCCAGATTACCAAATGCTGTAAAGTAAAAATAAAAATCTTCTTATTCTCCAATCCTACCGAGCTGAACCAGAGATACGGAGTACTCAGAGCAGAAGATAGGGAATTGACTTTACACCAAGTCTTAATAAGACACCAGGTGAGGGAGTCGAACCTGGGTCACAGCAGCAGGAGAGAAAAGTCTTAAAGACAATCCATGAACCCGACTCTGAAAATCCCTAACCAGATTTCTGTGCTGAATTAAAACATTCTTGACATAAACTAAGAGGGAAAAAATACAAATATTGATGAGAAAACTGACCATGACAAGTCCTTGTAGAATTCTGACCAGAATGAGCATTTCAACACTGTGATGTGCCGCAGCAGGTGTAAGTATCGTGAACACTGACGTAATGAACAGAGGGGCACCAAACAATGGCAGTTGTGTGAAAATGTAACCATAATAAGTTGAGCTCAAGATGAGTCCTGTCAAAACAAAATGTGCTTGTTTCTAAGTCAGTATCACTCAAGGATTAGTCCTTATTTATCGTCAAAGGGTGAAGGGGATGGGTGGAAAATTTTGGGGGGATCACATGGTTTTCAGGGGGGAACAGAGGGGAATCTGTCGTCGCGAACAGAGCATTCGTGAAACATAACTGCCAATTAACTGCCAATAACACGCGGATCCAAGAAATATTACCGAGCCATATGGGGGATCATTAACTTTCATTTTGACACAACAAAAATGCTC